TAGTTCCTCTTCACTTTCTGCCATTAGAGTGGTATCATCTGCATATCTTAGGTTGTTGATATTTCTCCCGGCAATCTTAATTCCAACTTTTGATTCATCTAGCCCTGCCTTTCTCATGATGTGCTCTGCATATAAGTTAAATAGGCAGGGTGACAGAATACAGCCTTGCCGGACTCCTTTCCCAATTTTGAACCAATCAATGGTTCCGTGTCCAGTTCTCACTGTTGCTTCTTGACCCGCATATAGGTTTCTCAAGAGACAAATAAGATGGTCTGGTACTCCCATCTCTTTAAGAACTTACTACAGTTTGTTGTGATCCACACAATCAAAGGCTTTAGCATAGTCAATGAAGCAGAAGTAGATGTTTTTCTGGAACTCCCAAGCTTTCTGCATGATCCAGCGTATGTTGGCAATTTGATATCTAGTTCCTCTGCCTCTTCGAAATCCTGCCTGTACTTCTGGAAGTTCTCGATCCACATACTGCTGGAGTCTAACTTGTAGGATTTTAAGCATAACTTTACTTGCATGTGAAATGAGTGCAATGGTGTGATAGTTTGAACATTCTTTGGCATTGCCTTTCTTTGGAATTGGAATGTAAACTGACCTTTTCCAATCCTGTGGCCACTGTTGAGTTTTCCAAATTTGCTGGCAAACTGAGTGTAGCACTTTTACTGCATCGTCTTTTAAGATTTTGAATAGCTCAGCTGGAATACTGTCACCTCCACTAGCTTTGTTGTTGCTCAGCTTTCCTAAGGCCCATTTCACTTCACATTCTAGGATCTGGGAAGATTCTGGAAAAGATAATCAAACAACGAATCAGCGAACACCTATAGGCAAACCAAGTCATTACTAAAAGCCAACATGGGTTTGTCAAAAACAGATCATGCCAGACAAATCTTATTGCATTCTTTGACCAAGTGTCAAAATTAGTGGACCAGAGGAATGCTGTGGATATAATTTACTTGGACTTCAGTAAGGCATTTGATAAAGTAGATCACAACCTACTACTTGATAAGATAGAAAAATGTGGGTTAGACAGCATCACCACCAGATAGATCTGTAGCTGGCTGACCGGCCGTACTCAGCGTGTGGTCCTCAATGGAACTGCATCTACATGGAGAGAAGTGTGTAGTGGGGTGCCCCAGGGCTCTGTTCTGGGCCCAGTGCTCAACATCTTCATCAACGATTTGGACGAGGGGATAGATGGGGAAATCATCAAATTTGCAGATGACACCAAGCTGGCAGGAATAGCCAACACTCCAGAAGACAGGCTTAAGATACAGGAGGATCTGGACAGACTTGAACACTGGGCACTATCTAACAAAATGAAATTCAATGGTGAAAAAAGTAAGGTTCTACTTTTAGGCAAGAAAAACCAAATGTACAGGTATAGTATATTGGGTACCTTGCTCAATAGAAGTAACTGTGAGAGGGACCTTGGAATCCTAGTGGACAATCACTCAAATATGAGCCAGCAGTGTGCTGCAGCTGCCAAAAAGGCCAACACAGTGCTAGGCTGCATTAACAGAGGGATAGAATCAAGATCACGTGAAGTATTAATACCATTTTACAATGCCTTGGTAAGGCCACACTTGGAATACTGCATCCAGTTTTGGTCACCACAATGTAAAAAAGAGGTTGAGACTCTAGAAAGAGTACAGAGAAGAGCAACAAAGATGATTAGGGGACTGGAGGCTAGAGCATATAGGGAACGGCTGCTGGAATTGTGTATGTCTAGTTTAATGAAGAGAAGGACGAGGGGGGACATGATAGCAATGTTCCAATATCTCAGGGGCTGCCACAAAGAAGAGGGAGTGAAGCTATTTTCCAAGGCGCCTGAAGGCAGAACAAGAAGCAACGGATGGAAACTAATCAAGGAGAGAAGCAACCTAGAACTAAGGAGAAACTTCCTGACAGTTAGAACAATTAACCAGTGGAACAACCTGCCTCCAGAAGCGGTGAATGCTCCAACACTGGAAGTTTTTAAGAAGAGACTGGACAGCCATTTGTCTGAAATGGTATAGGGTTTCCTGCCTGAGCAGCGGGTTGGACTAGATGACCTCCAAGGTCCCTTCCAACTTGATGATGATGATGATGATGATGATGATGATGATGATGATGATGATGATGATGATGATGTCTGGCTCGAGGTCAGTGACCACCTTATCGTGGTTATCAGGGACGCTAAGCTCGTTCTTGTATAGTTGTTCTGTGTAATTTTGCC